TTTCAAGAATAAGATCCCAACAAAGATTATGCCATATGGAGCACACCCAAGCCATTATTAATGCATCGGGTCTTCTTGTCAAGGCTATTCTCTCTCGCGTTTATTTGATAATAAATCGCTCGATGGAGGCGGAAAGGTCATACACATTAAATAAACTAAATTAAACTTTCGTTTCTTGCAACACTGTCGTAAACTTTCCAAGAAGTGCTATGCAAATGAAGGTGTTGCTTGCTAAGTTTTGCCAATCAAGGGAAAGAGCATCGGAGTGAATAAACAAAAGCACCTACTAAATGTGGTGATCGAGAAAAACTGACAATGAGGGTATTGTAGGTTGGGAGATCACATTTATTTTACATGTAGGAAAGTAAGCAAGAAACCGACATAAATGGAGTATGTTAGAAGAGGCTTAAAAAGGTGCGACTATACTCCTCCACTCCCTCTTCTTCAGGAAACAACTCTTGGATCCAAATCCAGACTCACCTGTTCAATTAATATAGTCGCCGACTGGTAAGGAAACCTGTGGAATCTGCTCGACGTGAACAAATACATCATAGGTGATGTGCTTCACATCTGCTAGGTGTATCGTAGATGCTGAAAAAGAGTCATCGTTTACGGAATGACGACTGCAAACGTACTCATCCATCCACTTCGGCAAACGCAAAGGATTTGCGATGACAAACCAAATAACAGAATAAAAAACAAATAAAGTGTTGGAGTCGAGTTCGTGAATTTTATTTCACCTCATCTCACTAATCGGGTTCTCTGCTAGCACGAGATGTCCGGTGCAGGCCTCAGCATACTGGAAAACTATTTTCTCTCTGGGTTCCTAAAATAGCTCTAGTTTTAATTTTCCTAATTACCAACAAAACTACTCACCGACTAGGGTAAATCTAGAAAAGCTGTCATAAACGGGTTACTTTCAAAAGACTCTAGCATAAGTTTATTCTTAGATGGTCTTCAACATAGAAATATCGAAGTCATCAGCAAGGATCTCTTTGAAGAGAATGTGAATGCTGCACATAACAAGTAAACCGAGAAACAGTGAAAAGGTGTCGTTACGCATAACCTGTTTATTCATTATAAGAGATCGATAATAAGAAAAGAGGTAGTAAATGAGTTTTTTCATGCCGAAAAATTTGCGAGTTCTTCCATCATTTTTAATTCAAAAATACAGAGAAGATCAGGTAGATTTTTTCTATTATAGCATACTAAATATGGGCGCGTGTGGCACATTGGTGGGATGCGCCCTGCAATACACATGGGATCGATCCCCGTCCCATGGCCCACCAAGACTTCATCTCTCCGGGGTCGGTAAATTGCTACCAGATTTGTTTGGGAGGATAGAAGCGCTGGCTCGATACATCGATAGGCTACCACGAGTCATTCTAAAGGCCAGATATGCATTCAATGACCTCCAAATAATGCTTAATGAAGTGGAATGTATATCGCATCCCTCAGGAATAAATCAACGCCGAGAACTTTATTCTTTATTCCTTATAACATACTAAATGCTTTGCTAAAACATATGGTCATCGCCAAGCATATAATCCATCAGAATAGATAATCAATTGAAATTTCGATTCTTAAATGCTGTGTGATCCGACAATGTAATCTGTATTAATTCAGAATCACTATTTCTTCTCCCATCTAGAAAGAGCTCTTTTCAAAGAATGACAGCTGGGACCCCGAGACCGAGGTCCTTGTTTTGCCTTTCTCTGAGCGGTGTTTTTACTCTATGGATGCTATTAACAATGACCCGTTAACGTGAATGATCTGCGGAGAACAAATCGGCATTGAACCCAGTTGAGCTAAAGCTGCAGTCTAAATCAAGTTTTGACCTTTTAGTAGAGCAAAGCAAGGGCCGCGACTGATGTGGTGGATAACACGTCAGGTCCCTGTAAGGTAATTGTCGGTTCGAAGTCATGCTGAGGTTCCGAGTTTTACCCATATCTTAACATCCTTATGGTTGTATTTCACATCGTGCTTTGCCATAAAAGGTGACTAAACACTAAATGAAAAGTCAAAAGACTTTGATAGCACTTTTAACTGGAAATGGAAGCCGTTTTGTCTGTACCGGTTATAATGAGAAGAGGCAGTGACCTATAAACGCTGCTGAATCTTTAAAACTAAGAGCAGACCTTCACTAAGAATAGGTTCATTATTTGTGTTGGTGAAATCTGGAAGGAATGTAAAGCATTTTGAGCTCGTGATAACCAAAACAGTGGTGGTCTTCGCTGTCGCACTGGTCAACTTCAGAATTTTGACGATGCCATTCAAAGGAAGCGTCCCTAACACCCCAATGTTCTCTTTGTACATGATGGTCATCTTCTACAAGTTGTGAAGACTGCTTATCTACTGTAGAAATTTTGTCGGTACCACACCATCTTGGAACTCATATGTATCGACCTTTACTGGCTTCTTGACTCTTGCCAAATACCATTTATCGCCGCTTCTCACGAACCAACTGTATAAGAAAGATTTAGCGAAATAAGTAGAATTCGTAAATGACTCTATAGAAAGTTTACGCATGCCTAGTCAGGTCCTGGAAAAATAGCTTTGAGGGTCTATTCAAAAATTTAAAACGTGTGGTGGAGGATAATTGTTGTGATTACATTACAGTGTCTCCTAATAGTTTTATCCTCGTAGTTGATCGAGATGATCTACAGCGTTGATCTGCTGTATACAGCGGCTAAATGATTCTATGTTTACTTTCTGGGGCTGATGAAGGGTGTGACATTTCATCCGGGAGCGATATTAGGGATGATCTCAACGTTAGGTCTCGAAGACTTGACTTTGACTATCTCCACACTAAAGGCAGTAAAAATAATGACCCCACATTTTTCCTGAAGCATTTTCTGTCTCTGGAGTTGGTGGAGCTCACTGTATATCTTTGTCACTTGATAGCGCTAGGTGGAACCTTTGACTGAATCCGTGCGACTAATTCGATAATTAACGAGAGTGAGGACGATGAATGTGGCGCGGATGCTGCAGGAAAACTTTAAACTATATTTATAGTCAAGGTAAATTTAAACAATGATGAAACCCTCGTGTTGTTAAAAAGTGTTCTTTGGAACCAAATCTAACAATCTGTTGACCTCGGCATATCCCAATCATAGCAGTGTCACTTGTGCTCCGCGTGATCATCCAACGATTTCAGCGACTCGCAGCGAGGTACACATTCACCCCTATCACGTTCAAGAGTCCTCAACTGGGCTTTGGTTTCTTGCGTAACACGATTCGGAGACTCGTTTTTCATCTAGAACTTTCGTGAAGAATTCTGATTGCCGCGTCGATGGTTGTCCTTGACATTATCTGAGATACCGCTGTTAAAATTGTCCTTTTCATCAATTTTATCATCCAGGCGCTTAGTGCTTCTCCACCAAATTATTTTTAACTTCTGCGCCCATGCAGTAGTTTGTCCGAACTCTGTCGTCGAAGTATTTTCGTATTTCTGATTCTACGCGTTTAGCTTTCATAAAAAGTACACTCCAAAATCACCCTGTGATAAAGCTAACCAGCCTTTCCTCTTGCTTAAGTAGCGTTCGAGGTTTCTAAAGCGTACAATAAGGTAGAAATAGTCGTGTTTTATATTACGATTAATGATGGAACATAAAGCATTCCGCGTTAACCAACCCATGATGGATGATTCACGCATTCGACTCCGCCCACTGTTCATCACGGAGGTGACTGAATCATATCTGGCGTATCCAGTGACTAACGGTGTTTGCTCCTGTATTAAGACAGCGTTTTTATTTATTTATGTGATCTTATAAACTGATCTTCTTAAGCTGACGCGAGGTTGGTACAGATCTTCGTTGTCGTTGTCGTTGTTTTTGATCCGTATGAAATGCTGAGATATTTGCAAAACTCCGGACCACAGGTGTATGCAATGGAGAACGAATACGCGCTGTTGTCCTTATCGGGGAGCAGCGCATTTCACCACGGGTGACCCGGATGGTGTCATACGGATACCAACCCGGATATAAGCCAACATACCTTGCCATTAAGAAGAAAAAGGCAGTAAATAAAAGAGTTAAGGTTGTTTTTGATGTTACTGATCAATGGCTGACGTTTCGGCGACTTCGCCTTCCTCAGAGCCGTGATGTTACGTGCGAGCGTTTTTATTCTCCCACGCAAGGGTGGTAGCAATTTTCCTTCCGAGAAGGGTTGAAGGGTCGATGATCCATGACACGGAATCGAATCAGCGATCGATCAGGTGTGTATTGCGAAGCACTTCCAATCGCCGCAGTGGACTCTTTCTTATGACAAAAGGTTTATTTCATTAGCAAAAAGTGGAAATTGTTCTCACACAATATTAAGCTGTCTGTGTTGTCATTTTTACTAGCACCACTAACAATCCGTGAGGCGACGAAAGTAGAACACTTCCCTCTTTAACACTTTGTATCTATTTATTCAAAAAATCCACAATACTCTCTTCGTTGGATGGTAGTATGGATTAAACAGTGAAATAAGCGTTTTTCGAGCGAAGCTCTCGGAAATCGTCTAACGTGCGCTAAACCTTGAAATAAGAAAACGCTTATTTGACTTTTCATCGCACGTCAGAGGCTTTTCGAGAGTTTCGCTACTATACTTTCATTTCATTAATATCCAATAATTACAGTGGTTTCACCATCGAGTTTGGCGCTGCCTTGACGGCATTGGTTTGCAGCAAACTTGGACTGCCGATCAGCACAACGCATTGCCTGGTAAACAACGAACACAGGAGTTTTAGCTAAGAAACAGGCAAAACGAAGGACCCGCATGGTGCGGTGGTGAACGCATTTGCCTCCAGAAAGGGTAATATCGCATTCGTGCCCCACCGCAGATACCTGCGCTCCGGAGTTTTGCAATTATGTCAGCATCATTGAAGACAGGAGTTTTACTTGTAAAAAATGGATTCTTTCTAAGAAAATACCGATCTGTTTCGATTTTATGCGATTTCAAAGGAATTATGTAATTCATCGACTAGTCTGTAGCACCACGTATTTGTTCCTTTTAAGGTTGGATCAGTGGTGGCTGTTGGTCTCGTGAAATCTCGTGAACGAGTTAAATGGTCTATATTTCGTAACATTGTCATTTCATGGATGGTTACAGTTCCAGTAGCAGGTTAGTAATTCTCCTGGAAAGCTCGAACATAAGACAAGTCTTTGAGAAATTACGACTGAGCCTTACTAGCAGCCTTAAAAAGATAGCGATTTTAGATCTACCTGAGAATTGAGTTTTCTGACCCTAGTGTAATATAATAAACACACTTTTCAGGTCTGATCTCAGCTGGTTTCATGTTTTTATTGAAATTCGCACTCTAGTCATTTGCTTCGGATTTAGGCCGTCACAATATCTTTTCATGAAAATGATCGCATTTTAGTTAATTGGGAAATAATCCATTAATTATCAATCGATTGTGTACGGTAGCTCTATATTGGTGTCCTCATTATGTGCTTGTATGTTCAGTGGAAGATTGATTTTTGTAGATTTTTTTCTCGCAAGTTGCATTCAAATTATATTTTACTTAATCTTTCTTCTTCATAGGTAGAAATTCTTTAACGTACTCACAAATTTAACGTGGTATGATAAACTGATATTAAGCAGAAGAAAGAAATGCTAGACATTTCTCGTGTCCGGAAGCTGAAGCATTTTTCTCCCACAGACTGCAATTGAGCTTACGGTAGGCTTTCGATGAGCTTTTCGTTGTTGTTTCTGGTCCTTTGATTCCTGTGTCAAATACGCTGTCCACACGTTTTCGCTTGAAAAGTGTATAAAAGTTTCACTATCCAGGTTTTAGATGGTTTTGTAGATTCGTTGCCCTGTTTGACAATCCAAGTATCCAATGAATGACCTCTTATTTCGCACCATTCACCAATTCCGAACCTGATAAGACGAAACAACAAACAGTGATAACGATATCGTATTTGAAGCAGTAGAACACAACTGGCAACACAAAGATTCCTACAGAAACGAGTTGCAGGAGGTCATCCAGAAAAAGTACTAAAGTGTAGAAGATCGGGTTTGTAAATTTTACATGCATAAGCTTTGATTTATGATTACGGATAGGAATGTAAAATTATGGAACACAAGTCAATAAAGAGAACAAAATGCAGCATGAAATCGCTCAAGCGAAATTATTTGGAAATGGCTTCAACCGTCATCCAAAGATTTTTCATTGGTTTTCTTTCGAATGCTAAAATATTATAGGGGCGCGTGTAGCGCAGTGCTCAGGAGTGTTCGACAACGCACACGTGGAATCAATCCCCGCGTCCATGACCCAACAAGCATTCCATCCCTTCGGGATCGGCAAATTCGTGCCATACCTGTCTGGAAGGATAGCAGCACTAGCTCGATAGATCGGAAGGCTACCGCGAGTCATGTAAAGGCCAGATATGCATTCAATCACCTCCAAACGATGCTTAATGAAGTCGAATGAATGGCACATCCCTTAAGGATTGGTCAAATCAACACCGAGAGCTTTGAGCTTTGATCTTTTGCTTAAGCAGTTATAGTTTGATATAGTTATTTGATCTTTACATTAACAGTTCCCAGGATCGACTTTCTCTTAACCTCGGCATTGGAATATGAATGCGTCGTTTTCTTGTTCAGCAATCGCGAGGTTTTTAAACAGCATTCATTTACTTCCATAAAAACACAATACAATACAACGCTAGCTGACGTTTCGGCAGTATCGCCTTCTTCAGAGCCTGGAAGGGTATACTGATATACAATCTACTAGGCCAAACGCTTCAATAACACTTACACAAAGACGAAAGACTCTTTGGTAATTACACGATCAACAACTTTACATTAACGCTTGCGCGACCAAACCGGCTTTACGGTAGGTGGCAGGAATTTGTCGATCAATAATCATTTGAGGAGGAAGTCAAGCAGTTTAGAATTAAACTCTTAAAAATTGATGACAATATTTAAGCTTGTGTAATTTTCAACGGAATGGAAATAACCACAACCATATATGATACGTTGGAGGAAACCATTGAGTTATGAGGGGGCAAAACCCCTCCTGTTCACTTGTTTTCGTTTTCGAAACATAAGCCTCTGCGAGGAACAACGGGAAAACACATTTTTGTGGGATCCAGAGAATTATGGTAACTTCAAAAATTTTCAAACGATTCATTGTGGTGGAACAAAAAGAACTTTTAAAAAACCGACTTCCTCTTAAACCCTCCGTGTGACTAATCAACGTGTACTCTTTAACTGATAAGCTAACACGAAATTGATAAAGAGGTTTGTTCCGTTAACGTATTCGTCTTCCTATGAGCCCATTACCCTAGTCGATGGTCTATAGTCGTTAATCCTCGCAATGTAGGGTATTCGTAATCGTACTGAATCGAAATTTTTCAGTAGAGCTGCACTCGAAAGAAGAAACCTTTACTTTTATCCTAGAGACAAAGCCCACAGATTGGCGAAGTTCACTGCCAGCTGAGCTGTGTTTGTTAAAAGTAGAAAGCTGCTATTATATTCGTCTCGTACAACTCGTATAGAGGTGACGTCTTCACGTAGTTGTTAAAACCTAGGTTGAATATTACCTACTTACTTCAATACCTGGATGGCCCATCTTCACTGGTTGTGCGTGTTCCAGCACAGTTCTCATTGCAGATATCTTCTAGTTCAGATACTACAATTCTGTAGAGTCCTGAGATCATTCTAGGAAAACCATTTCTCAGGTCGTAACCATTCCAGCCACCCCAGGCAGTCGTCACCCTTGAAGGAGGTTTAACCCTAGGATGGTGGTGATTTCTGGTGTTGGTTTGCTCTTAGCATCCAGATAGAAACGTGGAGCTATTCTCAGCTTGAGAGGTCCGACGGGGTGATAAACCACCTGTTCTGTATCTTAACCCTACACCCAAGTACATCTCCCACTCACGACGAGCTGGTAGAGCGTTAGAAGGACAGGCTGAATAACGTGATTTAAAAAAAATAAAGTATAAGAAATGCTTGCGGCGTTAGATTTTCGACTCTTCAGCCAATCTAGTGAAAGTCTGCGGATAAGCTTAAGTTTTCAATAAGGTCACATCTATTCTGTTTCGTTGCATCTATGTTCTTCTGTTATCTCAACATCCAGATGGCGAAGGATAGCTACGAACTTTCCCCCTTTATCACTAACGGACAATCTTATTGTTTTCGAGTTTATTAATTCTCTAATTTCCCGCATGCCAAATTTTTGTGCGGCTGTAAGGTTAGAGATAAACTTTCTATCGCGGTAGTGATCAAGGGTCTTGAGAACGCCGTCCGAAAACGCGCGGAATTTTATGTCAACTCCATCGTTAGGGTCCTGCTGTCTAGAAAACGTTTTCGGGAAAGGAGATGGTGGTAGAGCCGCCGCCTTTTGATTTTTATCTCTATTTGATGTTTCTTGCTTGGCCTGATATCGGAGTCGATCTTGAAGCTCATAAAGGTTGCATGCTATGGCAAGAACACCTAGATGGCAAACGAAAACTAAGACGAAGCACCCCACTAGGCACGCATAGGATACAAAAGCATAGCGGAGACGATTTTGAAGTAAAAGTCAATATCCTTGCACAGGAGTCCAAAACACCAGCGCGAAAACTCCTAGAGGCTTTTTGGATCAATGACAAAACCCTACAATGAATAGCAGGGAGGAATGCCCGGAGGTCATACGCGACCTGATCCCGTACGTTCGCATCGATTTTTATGTGGGATGGTGCAGTCGTCAACCACATGCGACTATAATCAGCTGTTCTAAACTTCCTCATTGGAAGTCACGAAAAAGCGGTGGGTTTTTCGAGAAGCTGTTGATCGTGTAATTACCATAGAGTTTTTCGTCTTTTTGTAAGTGTTATTGAAGCGTTTGGCCTAGTAGAATGTATACCAGCATACCCTTCCAGGCTCTGAAGAAGGCGATACTGCCGAAACGTCAGTTAGTGTTGTATTGTATTGTCTTTTTCTATTGAGGTGAATGTATGCTGCTTAACAACCTAGCGATTGCTGAACAAGAAAACGACACATTCATATTCCAATGCCGAGGTTAAGAGAAAGTCGATCCTGGGAACAGCTTCTAAAGCTGATCATTTTGTAATAGTTCCCAGGATCGACTTTCTCTTAACCTCAGCATTGGAATATGAATGTGTCGTTTTCTTGTTCAGCAATCGCGAGGTTTTTAAACAGCATACATTTACTTCCATAAAAACACAATACAATACAACGCTAGCTGACGTTTCGGCAGTATCGCCTTCTTCAGAGCCTGGAAGGGTATGCTGGTATACATTCTACTAGGCCAAACGCTTCAATAACACTTACAAAAAGACGAAAAACTTTTTGGTAATTACACGATCAACAGCTTCTCGAAAAACCCACCGCTTTTTCGTGACTTCCAATGAGGAAGATTAGAACAGCTGATTATAGTCGCATGTGGTTGACGACTGCACCATCCCACATCAAAAATTGATGCGAACGTACGGGATCAGGTCGCGTATGACCTTCGGGCATTCATCCCTGCCATTCATTGTAGAGTTTTTGGCATTTATCCAAAAAACTTCAAGGTTTCGAGCTGGTGTTTTAGCCTCCTGTGCAAGGATATTGACTTTTACTTCAAAATCGTCTCCGCTATGCTCTTGTATCCTATGCGTGCCTAGTGGGGTGCTTCGTCTTAGTTTTCGTTTGCCATCTAGGTGTTCTTTTATACGGATACACAAAGGTCTGCCTGTTTCGCCAATATATTCATCTCCGCAATTGTTACACGAGATCAGGTATATCGTACCTGAACTCATGCAATCACCGCCCCTGCCGTAAGGGCAAATTACGCAATTTGTTGTTTCACACAGACGGTCATACAAGCGGTTGCGAACTAATTGGCGACGTAGAGTAGTCGGTGGTATTTCAACTATCGCTACCGATTCCTCTAGACCTGCCCTTCTTAAGCATCGTTTTATAGCTGCGCTTACTTCATCGCTTATGAAAGGCAACATAAACGGGATTTTGTTTTGGCCAAGTGTTTCGCGTGGGCGCGTCGTTTTCCTTGTAAACTTATCTCGTGGAGTTACTATTCCGTAGCCATTGGAGATGGCTATTTGCCGAGCCAAGTCGCGCGATTCTTCCTTTAGTTCCCTGGTAGTGCACACAGAGGTGGCTGTTGGAAA